TTTGCTCTATCTGCTTGAACTGAGAAATCCATCTTCTATGAAAGACCCGGTGGTCTAGGGAGAAGGAAGAGAGTTTAGAGAGAATGGTAGTCCTGGTAGGGTTGTGACAGGGAAAGTACAGAGTACTATAGGAGCACACGGGAAGTAAAATTGTTTCACTTGTGAGGTACTAGGCAGGCTTCCCAGCCTCAGGTTTATCTGACACCTCAACTAAAACCTAAGGACGGAGGGAAAACGAGCCTGATAAAGACCAGGCCAAGTTGAAAGAGGCTATAAACATAGACAGACATGGAGCAAGAGGGTGGATGGCACTTGGGTAGACCATGATACCATTGTTTGATATTAAAAAAAAAAAACTCAAAAGAATGGGTGAAATTATCTTGTTTTGTGTTGTTTTATTTTGTTTGAAGAATGGAGGAAGATGAAGAGCTCTTCTTTGTACTATTTAATTTGCAGTGCTTCTGAAAAATTCACATGCATTGGCCGGTGCCGTGGCTCACGCCTATAGTCCAAGCACTTGGGAGGTCAAGGCAGATGGATTGCCTGAGCTCACAGGTTTGAGATCATGGATCAGCTTGAGCCAGAGTGAGACCTCATCTCTAAAAAATATATATAGCCAGGCTTGTGGCAGGCGGGTGCCTGTAGTCCCAGCTACTTGAGAGTCTGAGGTAAGAGGATTGCTTGGGCCCAAGAGTCTGAGGTTGCTGTGACCTGTGATGCCATGGCACTTTACTAAGCATGACAAAGTGAGACTCTGTCTCAAAAAAAATAAAATAAAATCCACATAGATCAAAAACCCAGTCTGATATATTGAAGTGAAGCTTAGAAGAGATATCTGACCTGATTGTAATTACCAGGAAAAAGCTGAAATATGAGCATAAATAAAATTACCTTGGGAGATTTCATTGACTGAGAAAATAAGCAGGTCAAGGGGAGAATGCTAAGGAGCACCAATATGAGAGGGTGCACGGAAGATGACAAGTTCACAAAAAAGAACAGAAGAGGGTTATCATGAAATCAAAAAGAGAGCAGTATCGCAGCAGCCAAGAAAGGGCGAGATTTCAGAGAAAGAATAATCAATCAGTCATTGGATTTAGCCCAAGAAATCTTTTGGTAAACTTGACAAAAATAATTAGGGGCAGTGGGCTTGGCACACGTAGCTCAGCTCACCAAAGCTGGCAGGTTCAAGCTAAATGAAACAAAGAGTCAAAACTGTGTAAAATGACCGTTTCCTCTGCAGAACATGTATAAAACTTACTGAAAGTATCAAAGGTCAATGGAATGATGTGCTGAGAATATCCTTCTGGGCATGAACGAAACAGTGGTGGGACAAGTTGAGGTCATACCTAGAGGTGTGGCAACTGTGTATTTAAATCTATAACAGGAACCATGGCTTCTGCTCCAAATGTATTTGGAGTAATAAATGGCACAGGACAGGGCTACCCTTAGACCTGAGCAAGTCCTGTCCCCACCCCAGCCTTCATTCAGCTGTTTCTACCCTCTACCTATAAGAAGTCCACAAGGCCAAGGGGACATGGCACTCTGGAGTCTAAACACCCTTTCTAGGCCATGCTCTGGGTGTCCAGGATGCCAGAATTCCCTTCACAAATGTTCTCAAATCCACTTTTAAGGTCTGCATGGGTCTTACAAGGACCATCTTCCCAGAAGGAGCTATAATTACTTTTTTAATGTATCTAGTCTTACAGGTTGTAAAGTGACAAGAGGGTGCAGCTGTTGGAACAGGGAAGTGCCCTGCGATTCTGTTCTTTCCATATGTATCAACCCTTCATTGCTCCTAGGAATACAGATGTATCTTGCTTCCCACTTACACTTCCTTGAGCACTGACTCATGGATGTCCTTATTAGGAACATTTCAGAACCATTCACTTAAGTCTCTAAAATCCCTGGCGTTTATTTCCAGTGAATGTTCTATCTCAGACCACCCACAATGATAACAAAATACATTTCTGTGAATGCTGATTTGCCTTTGCAATATTTCTTCTCTGATTCATTTGTCTTGTAAAATAAGTCTTTTGTTGATATGTAAAATCAACGAAATATTAAATTCAATGCAATAAATTTGCACTTAAAACAAAAATAGAGCTGCTAATTTGCAGAATCCTCCCCTGAGTCATTATTGATTGGCCAAAGGCAGACGCCAAGCTGGGCTAACAACAAGAGCCCACACCCTTGTCCACTGACTCTCCCAAAACACTTTAACTTGAGAAGAGATCAAAATAGTGAAGTCCAGTCCCTCCTAAGAGTATAGTGTTGCAGGAATCTAGTCCTGGTGGAGAGAAAGCAAACAGAAAGAGTGACAGGATAACCAATGACAGAGGGGGAAGAGCTTTTATTTTAGCCTGCAGAGCTGCAGCAGACTAGAGCCCAAAATGGCCAGACTCCCCATCACCTCTGTCTCTGTCCTTTTATTGGACTCACAAGTAGACAGACAAAGGAATTACCATATTACCTCTCATTATATTGCAGGCAAATGAGGCCCAATGGAGAGAAAGAGCACCCAAACACCATGTTTATAAGAGAAAGGGCTTTATTTCAGCCAGCAGAGCTTGCAGCATAGAAGAATTCGAAATGACTCCACTCACCAACTGGCTTGGTCTTTCCCTTTTCTTCTCCAGTCAAAAAGTTCCAACCTTTCTAATTGGTCAGTTTGAATCAAGCCAGAGAAGTTGTTCCAGCTCCCACAGTACTATAAGATTGCACAGAAGTGGAAATTTCCAGGGACCAGGAAGTTAAGTCTACAAATTCCTAAGAGCTGAGTCACCATAGAGAGGACCCTGCAGGTGTAGCCTTGGGGTCTCCTTGCCAAGACCTCTGTTCTCCTAGAATTCACCTTTCCCAAATATCCTCTCTCAAGGAGAGGTGTCAAATCAGGGTTTGCAGAAGCAAGCACCCAGTGTTAGTTTCAAGGGCCAAAGAAGCTAAATTTTATAAATTCTTAAGAGCTGAGTTACCATGCAGAGGACCTTGAAGAAGTGTCCTTGGGCATCTGTGAGAGGTCTTTTGTTTTGTTTTTTATTCAACTCATAACACATTCTCCCCAGATATCCTCTCTCAATATATGAGATATGAGCTCAGGAACTCTAGGCAGCTATACTTAAATCTATACATTAAAATCCTCCCCTAATTGAAACTCTCCTCCTATGACGGAAATCAAGGGAGTTTGCCTCTCACCTTCCTTCACAGCTCAGCTGTCTCTACATTCCCACCTCACGTACCATTTTGGGGATTCTCTATCTTAGCACTTACCAAACTGTTTTCTTAGTTGACCGCTTGCTCCTACAACCAATAGCTTTTTGACAAGGACCATTTCTGAAGTTAGGGCTATGTCCTCACTGAAATCACACTTTCATGCCTCAAGTTGCTTATGGACTAGCAGAGAACTGAACAGTTAGACCATGTGCCCTAGAGGCAGACCGCTTGTGTTTCAGTTTGCCTGTTATTTGCTTTGTGACTTGAGTAAGATACTTCACTTTTCTGTGCTTTAGTTTCTTCCTCTCTAATGTAAGCTTATGATAATAATGTCAGAATTAAATGACAGAATTTAATTTAATTTAATTTAAATCATACCTAGAGATTAAGGAGAGTTTCCCTCAACTCTTCTTTTATAGTTGAAAAATAAAGATGGCATATATTTGTGTTGTACAATATGATTTTTGAAATATGTACACATTGTGGAATGGCTAAATCTAGCTAATAAATATATGCCCTCCCTCACATATTTACCATTTCTTGTGATAAGAACACTTAAACCTACTTTTAGCAGTTTTTAAGTATGTAATACATAGTTATGTACTATAGTCGCCATTAAATAGATCTCTTGAACTTATTCCTCCTGTCTAACTGAAATTTGGTATCCTTTCACCAACCTATCTCAGCCCTTTTGCCTTCCCCCCAAAGCCCTGGAACCCACAATTATACTCTCTGCTTCTATGAGTTCAACTTTCTTAGATCCCATAAATAAGTGAGGTCATGTGGTATTTGTCTTTCTGTGCCTGGCTCATGTCACTTAACAAACTGTCCTCCAGGCTCATCTGTGCTGTCACACATGGCAGGCTTTCTGTCTTTTGTAAGTCTAAAGCGATACCCATTGTGATATACACCACATCTTTATATCCATTCACCTACTGATGGACACATAGGTTGATTCCACGTCTTGGCTGCAATGAATGTATGATGCATGCAGATATCTCTTTGTCAGACCTACTTCATTTCCTTTGGAAATATACTCAGTGGTGGGACAATAAGATCATATGGTAGTTCTATATTTAATTTTCCAGAAATCTTTATTTTCTATAATGGCTGCATTAATTTACATTCCTACCAATAATGTGAAAGAGTTCCCTTTTCTCCTCATCCTCACCAACAGTTACCTTTTGTAATAGGAATCCTACCAAGTGGAAGGTGATCTCTCATTGTGGTTCTAATTTGTATGTTTCTGATGACTAGTGGTATTAAAACATTTTTAATATACCTCTTGGCCATTTGTATGTCTTCATCTGAGAAATGTCTTTGCCCATTTTTTAATCAGGTTATTAGGGTTTATTGGGCATTTAGTTGTTTCAGTTCCTTAATGATTTGAATACTACCTTCTTATCAGATGTAGAGTTTGCAAATGTTTTCCCCATTCCGTCACTTGTCTTTTCAGTCTGCTGATTGTTGCTTTGCTGTGCAGAAGTTTAATATAATCCCATTTGTGTATTTTTCCTTTCATCCCTGGGTTTTTGTGGTCATATCCAAAAACTCTTTGCCCAGACCAATGTCATAAAGCTTTCTCCTGTGATTTCTTCTAGTTGTTTTAAAGTTCTTTCATTCTTTTGTGACCAGTGCTTAGCACAGTACCAGGCACATAAGGACTCAAAAACACCTGCTGAATAAGCAACATCTGTGGTTTTAAACTGTAGCTTCACAGACACATCCTAGAGCCATACCACTCCCTGGTGGCAGGACATAAAGACCTCAGAAAATGGGTTTGGCTGTACTCAAGGGTTTGTGTTCAGCTTCCCTTGAAGCTCCATCAGTGTGTCACTCACAGCACAGAAGTACACAGCAGAGTCGCTCCCAAGGGCAGATGCTTTCTTCAGGTGAAAAGAGGTTTGGCTCTTATTAAATTCAGCCTCAAAACCATAGTTGCCTTTAACCAGGTTGTCCCCTGTGATGTATTTTAGAAGAAACTGGAGGCCTTCCTGGGGATACTGGACGTACCAAAAGAGATAAGGGCTCCTAGAAACCGAATAGGTGCATTTCACAGTCAGAGGATTCCCTTCAGAGACAGTAACCTGGGCATCCGGTTGAGTCACTGACTGAGCTCTCAGTCCACCTGCAAATTAATTCAGATTGCATGTTAGTGAAGAAGATGAAGAGAATGTAAGCGGACTATAATGTAAGTGGAAATGGGGAGGGGATTGTACTCACTCAACATGAAGAGAAGCACAAGTATGGAGATGCATGTGGAAGCCATGGCTCCAGCTGAGCTGGCTGGGGACGCCTTCCCAGACCTCCTTACCTAGAGATACGAACCCACCCCAGAGAGTGTGCTCTAGAGAGGGACCAGCACCCCTCTATCAACACAGGGCTTTCCAGGGAACCTAGTGATTCCTGGCACCTGTATCTTCTCTCTGTTAAACACACTCTTGGTCTAGCTTCTCAGAACTCTATGGGGAGCAAGCCTGCAGCTACTCTTGTACTGGGTAAACCTTACACTGCACCGCCCCCTAGAGACCACACAGGGCAGCTGATTTGACTGTTAGGTAGCAAGTGCTTCTTGGTCCCTTTACTGGGCCAACCTGTGGATGTTTACATTTCCCATGAGAGACTTAAGGGAGGAATTTGGTGTTCAAAGGAAAAGAAAGAAGTTTGTACATGCTGAGTAGATGAAGCCTTAAATGACTTACGTTCTCTTAAGATAATGTAGAGATAGAAAGAAGAAAAAAAGAATTTTTTTCTTTTTCTTTTTTTTTTTTTTTTTTTGAGATAGTCTCACTATGTTGCTCAGACTGGAATCGTAGTGGCTCACTGTAATCTCTAAGGCCTAGTCTTGAATCATCGTCTTGCCTCAGCCTCTCTAAGTAGCTAGAACTACAGGCGCACACCATAGTTCCAAGCGGTATTTCAGGAAATAAATAGGAAAATGTCTTTGCAAGAAGACAGAGAGAAAAATAAAAATAAGAGATAAGAAAAAGCAAAATAGGAGACAATGTAAGGAAAGAGAAGAGAAATGACAAAAAAAGAAACGAGAAACTTGTTCTTCTCTTCAGAAGGAATTTAGAGCTGGCATCTATGTAAACTCTTGGTGAACAAACAGTAACTCAGAACAATGTGTCACTAAGTTGGGCCTATTGAGAGCTCATCCCACAAAATCTCTAGTTAAAGATTCATAGAAAAAGAACCTTCAAGATTCTCCATAAACATGTTTTTTGAGAGAGAAAGGAAGATTAGGTAGAAGACTTTTTTCTATTAAACAGTAGATAAAAAGCAAAGAAAACCTTTGTGAAGGGGTTGAAAATAGATATTTTCCACATGCAGAGGCTACTTAAAACAGACATCAAAGGAACTGCATATTCAGTAAAAATGTGCAGTTAACTAAGGCCGAGGTGTTATTAAGGTGATAAAGGGCTCATTTGAAGGGGAGGATAGGCTAAAATTTTGTATGAAAAAAATGCCACAGTAGCATTTTAGAGTAATTATTCAATAGATTCAAAAAGTTTTTTTTATTATTTTTATTATTGGGGATTCAATGAGGGTACAGGGAACCTGGTTACACTGACTGCATTTGCCGATAGATTCCAAATAAAAGAATAAAGTGAGCATCAATTTAAAGAAGTTGCTACAGTGCATCTTACAAGGGTACATGTGAAATTTACTAGGTGTAGAATGTAAATGTCTTAACACAATAACTAAGAAAATGCCCTGAAGGCTATGTTAACCGGTTTGATGAAAATATTTCAAGTTGTATATAAAACCAGTACATTGTACCCCATGATTGCATTAATGTACACAGCTACAATTTATAAAAAAAAAAAAAGAAGTTGCTCCTCTGATTTGCCTTATTTTTTCTTTCAATAGTGTTCAAACAGCATCCATTATATATTTTGAGGCAAGGATGAAAGATCTATCTGGCCTGAATCAGAAGAACAATGGCATATAGTTCTTTCTGAAGGCTTTTCTAAAGATTTTATACGTTAGCATTTGAAACCTTAGTCATATCATGGTGCCTTTCACTGGAATTGATTAGTTATCCTTTATATTTAAAGATAAACTATAATCTTTAAATCCCAAAGAGGCCTGTGATGAATGGGAACATAAACTGAGTTTCTTCTCTTTCTACCTCGAGCCTAAAATGAATGTTAGTCTTATATTTTCAGGGTCCAGGCAATCATCTCAAAAGGAAAATTTTAAAAACTTAATAAAAGAAATATTTTTAAATGATGGGCAGAAACAAGCAGAACCTACAAGGGACAATGAAGCACTCCCGGATTAGCAGCAGTCAGAAAATTTCACCACTCCCAGGCCCAAAGCTACAAGGGAAGAAGAAACTTCCCTAGTCTGGGGAGACCTGTAACTGAGGGAGAGAATACCACCCAGCAGGACCTGAGGCCTTCACTAAAGGAAAGAAAGGAACTTGGAATGCAAATATCTTGACCACTCTCTCCTGCTGATGTCTCCCACTTAGCTAAACTGAACCAGAAGCAAAAGACAAGAGAAACCAGTCCATGCAAAGCATGGAAGTCAGCCTGGGGCATGGAGCAGTGAGGAGAGCAGACCTGGAGAGGAAAACTGAGACTGTCCAGCCTCCCTCACACACACAGAGGTTTACTGTTGCCCTGCAACTCAAGCAAAGGTCTATGTGTGTCCTAAATGCATCTATGGGCATAGATAGACTATATCTTGATGACT